ATTCTTTGTCTTTTGCTCTTGGAATTTTAATTATGATTTTTCTTGTGTGGTCCTCTTTGGTTACTTTTGTTTGGGGTTCTGTGCATTTTCTGGACTTGTAAGTCTAATTCTTTCACCAGGTGGGGGAAGTTTTCTGTCACTATTTCTTTCAGTATATTTTCGGTATCTTGCTCTCTCTCTTATTCTGGGACCCCCATAATTCTGATGTTGGTTCGCTTGAAGTTGTCCCAGAGGTTTCTTACATTATCTTTAACTTTCTGGATTCTCTTGCCTTCTTGCTTCTGTGGAGGAGTGTCTTCTGGCTCTTTATGTTCCAAATCTTTGACTTGAGTCTTGTGATCTTTCATTCTGTTTTTAGGACTCTGTATAATATTTTTTATTTCAGACAATGTATTCTTTATTTCTTGTTGACCCCTTCTTATTTCTTGTTGATCCCTTATTAATTCTAGTTGATCCCTTTTCATATCATCATAGGTCTTGTTTATTTTATCAGCCTTTTCTAGGAAATTCTTGAAAAACCTTATAAGCATGGTTTTGAACTCTATATCCAGTCACTTTTTGTCCTCCATTTCTTTTGTTTGTGATCTGTTTCCTTGTCTCAGCATTTTCCAGTTTCCCTGAGTTGGTAGCCTGAAAAGTCTCTGTGTTCAGCTTGGATGGGGCGGAGTTTTAGGGTGGAGGCACCTCTGAGAGGAAGGTGCCCTTGAGTTTTGCCCGCTACCAAACAGTCTAGGCTCTCCCCCCAATGAGTCTGGAACTGGGGTTCAGTTCAGTTGGAAGAGGGATTGGAAGTGGGGTCCAGAGCAGTCTGGAGCTTTTGTCTCCTTCCCACTAGGGCAATCCTGCAGCACAGTCAACTGTCTGTTCCCTGCATGCAATGTGCGCGCCTTCGGGACTTCCTTTCACTGCTCCCCTGGGTTTCCGCCTTATAGCCCAGGCTCCCTCTGTATAAGCCTAGGTCCCCAGGGTCTGGTCTAGAACTGGGGTTCAGCACAGTCCAGAAATTTTGTCTTCTTCCCACTAGAGAATGCCAGCCAGGCACTCAGCCTCCCCCTCCTCTCCGGCTCTGTCCTCTCTGCACGCACAATGTGAATCCGTACCTTATGCTTTTACAGCTCCTCTGCATTTCCTTCTGGTTTTCTCTATCCTTCTCATAGTAGAATTTCCAGTCAATCGACTTTCCTGTAGTTCTGGGTAATGTCCATTTTGTATTTTAGTTGTATTTTATTGAAATTGTTCTGCAAGGCTGCAGTTAGGTGTTACCTATGCCACCATCTTGAATTCTCCAACAATTTGTTCTTGATATTAGCAGAAAAAACATTCAGTCTTTAGCCATTAAGCAAGATGTTAGCTGTAAATTTTTCATAGATGTCCTATATCAGACTGAGGAATTCTCCTTCTTCTCCTAGTTTGCTGAGTTTTTACTTTCATAAATACTGATTTTTTTTCATGTTTTTTATGCTTCTATTGGAATGATTACACACATTTCTTTTTAAAAAATATATTTTTATTGATTTCAGAGAGAAAGGAAGAGGGAGAGATAGAATTAATGATGAGAATCATTAATTGGCTGCCTCCTGCATGCCCTCTCCCCCCCCCCCCCCACTGGGAATCCAGCCCATAACCCCGGACATGTGCCCTTTACTCAATCGAACCTGGGATCCTTCAGTCTGCAGGCTGATGCTCTATCCACTGAGCCAAACTGGTGAGGGCCACACATTTCTTTATACTATTAATATCATATATTATAATTATTGGTTTTTGAATATTAAACTAATCTTAATTTCTTAGGAAGTAAATCCCAATTTGTCATTGTGTATTGTTCTTTTTACACATTGTTGTATATGACTTGTTGGTATTTTGTTAAGAATCTTTGCTCATGAGGAAATATTGGTCTACAGCTTTCTAACATCTTTGTCTGGTTTTGGTATCAAGATAATGGTTGTCTCATAAAATTTAGTTAAAAGTTGTTTTTTCCTCTTCTATTATTTTAATAAGAGTTTGTATAGGATTTATATTATTTATTTTTAATATTGTTTGATCAACAATGAGGTTAGCTGAACCAATTCAGAAGGTTTTCAGTTATGAATTCAACTTCTTTGATATAGAGCTATTCAGATTTTCTATGTTGTTTTCTCAATGCTTTATTATTTTAAGTATTACATGAGTCTCCTTCCCCCCCCTCTCCAATGACCTCTACCCAGCCACTCCCATTCCCCAGCACATGCCCTCACCCTTCTGCTGCCTGTGTCCATTGATTATGCTCATATGCATGCAAACAAGTCCTTTGGCTGATATCTTAGTCTTCCCCTTTTCCCCACCTCCTCTGCCTTCCTTCTTAGGTTGGATGGTCTGTTCAATGCTCTTGTTTTTGGATCTATTTTTGTTCATAAGTTTATGTTGTTCATTATATTCCACAAATGAGATCATGTGATATTTATCTTTCTCCTACTAGCTTCTTTCACTTAACATAATGTTTTCCATGTCCATCCATGCTATTGCAAATGGTAAAAGTTCTTTTTTTTTTACAGCAGGGTAGTATTCCATTGTGTAGATGTACCACTGTTTTTTTGTTTGTTTGTTTGTTTGTTTTGTTTTGCTTTTGTTTTTTTAAGTACAATTTCCATTTATTTTCCCCCCAGAGAACTTTTCTTCACTCTTTAAAGACTTAGCTTCTGCCGAAGCCGGTTTGGCTCAGTGGTAGAGCATTGGTCTGCAGACTGAAAGGTCCCAGGTTCAATTCCGGTCAGGGGCATGTACATTGGTTGCGGGCACATCCCCGGTAGGGGGTGTGCAAGAGGCAGCTGGTCGATGTTTCTCTCTCATCGACATTTCTAGCTCTCTATCACTCTCCCTTTCTCCACTCTGTGAAATATCAACAAAATATATTTAAAACAAAGCAAAATAAAACAAAACAAAACAAAAAAAGACTTGGCTTCTTACATGGGTTTTGGTAGAGGTTGTGGGGCAGCACCCACAGGTCTAAATTGGGGGGGGGGGTGTGTTCAGTCCTTCTGGGCTTCATGAGATCAATTCCTGACTACCTTGCTGTGAATGGCCCAGCTCACACAGTAATGCAGCTTCACATACAGCTTGGGAAGCCCATAGGCATCGAAGACACTCGCTGCATGTTACTTTGCTCAGACTTGTGAAATTATCCCACTGAGTCTGCCGGCGTAATAAACTGTGTAACTCTATTTCTCTAAAGTGTTACTTGGTTTTTCTCCAGTCTTCTTTAACACATCCACCTAAATAAAAGAACTACTACTTTTTATCCACTCCCAGAGGACCTATTTCCCCCTCCCCTATGGCTTTTTCCTTCCTCCGTAATTTATCACCAATGGATTTCATGTAACACATCTCCTCTTTTGATTGTAATGTATAAAACAAGATGCAAAACTGCCATTCATTGAGATCCTACTTCAAAGTATTGTCAACAGTTTGTCTCAAACTCACAAAAATTCCTCACAGGTTTGAATGTTCCTTATGTTGACACTAGATAAGTTAGAGACAGATTAAGTGAAGATCCCTGCTTTTATAGTAAGACAGACTTGACTTCTAGCTTGGTTTTGCCATTTGCTGTGTGCTAATTCAATCATCTAAGACAGAGCACTAAGCTAAGTATACAATTTTACCTATATGTTCTCAAAAATTCTAGTTTAGCACTTCGTAGTTGGGATTCAGGAATCTGTATTTTATTTTATTTATTATTATTTTTTAAAAAAATATATTTTATTTTTTTACCGAGAGGAAGAGAGAGGGATAGAGAGTTAGAAACATCGATGAGAAAGAATCATTGATCAGCTGCCTCTTGCACACCCCCTACTGAGGATATGCCCGCATCAAACCTGGACCCTTCAGTCTGCAGGCCGATGCTCTATCCACTGAGCCAAACTGATTTTGGCAGGAATCTGTTTTTTTAACAACTCCACCAGGTGATTCTCATCATGAGAGAAGTTTGGGAAACACTGATCTAGTGATACTGTTGTGGCAAGTGTACATTTGGAGTGTGTAGGAAAGTATTTATAGAGAGATTCAGTAGGCTTTTGTCATTATAACAGAACTGGGAACAAACAGCAGCCATTAAATAGTTCATTATGCTTCCTGAATTTGTCAGGAACTGGGCTGATCCCACTTAAAAGTTTAACAGGGTCAAATTTGCCCAAAAGATAATGAGAATACACAACTGAAAGTATGGCCTACTACTTCAACAGGTTCTGTTGTGGAGAATAAGAGAGAAAAAAGTGCTATTTGTAATTAATCAGGCTGGGCCTGTTAAATGTTTAGACTCTGACACGTTTAAAATCCACCACGTCCAGGACTGGATCATTCAATATTCTGTAGGTTGGGGATTATCGAAGGGCGGATTTCTGCCAGGAAACTATGATCAAGAAGTGACTCTTGGCTGAAACCAGTTTAGCTCAGAGGATAGAGCGTCAGTCTTGGGACTAAAAGGTCCCAAGATTCGATTCCGGTCAAGGGCATGTACCTTGGTCGCGGGCACATCCCCAGTGGGGGGTGTGCAAGAGACAGCTGATCAATGACTCTCTCATTGATGTTTCTAACTCTCTATCCCTCTCCCTTCCTCTCTGTAAAAAAAAAAAAAAATAAATCAATAAAATAAATCAATAAAATATATTTAAATAAAAAGTGACTTGGATGAAAAACACACGCCGGATTTCAAGAAGGTCCTCGTCCTTCCAGAGCATCGCAGGTACCTGCCGGAACAAGATGGCGTTTCCCTCACTAACCGACTTCCTAACCGTGAGTCACGCACGTAGCAGAGGCCTGAGGAGGGCACCGTTGCTGTTCCCTAAGATGGGGAGCCAGGCAGCGTCACAGCTTCCAGGTTTCAACAGGGCTTCCCAGCCCGAAGTTCACTTCCGGAACCGAGCTCAGCCGGAGCGGAAGTAGCGTAAGCGGAAGTTGCCGCCCAGCGCAAGTCCCCGCCCCTGTCTTTACGCCCCGCCCCCATCGGCGGCGCGGAGAGCAGAGCCAAGATGGCGGCGGAGGCGGAGTACGAGTCCGTGCTGTGTGTGAAGCCCGACGTCAGCGTCTACCGGATCCCGCCGCGGGCCTCCAATCGCGGTTACAGGTAGGCGCCCCGAGGCGCTACCCGCCCGCGCGGACCGGGTCGGGAGCGACAGCTTCCTTCTCAGGTGGCTCTCCGCTCGCCCCGGCCACTGCCCACCTCAGGGCTGTCACCTTGCTCCCTCCTTCCCCCGCTCTTCCCCTCCCCCCCCCCCCAAAAAAAAAAAATCTGGGCTGTTATCACCCTGTACTCCCTCCCTTCCCCCGCTCTAGACTGCCATCCTCTTTGTTTACGCCGCTTGGAAACACATTCCCATCCCGCATCCTCCCGTCCGTCCTCCTCCCCCGGACCCTTCATCATCCACATCCAGTTCTGCCCGCTCCCTCGCCAGTCACCTTTCGTTCCCTCTTCCCTGCGCCCTTCAGTTTGTCCCCCCCCATCTCCCCCTCCCCACCCCCATTTCCAGAGCTCCGCGCACATGGGTGGATAACCATTGCGTTCTTGATCCCTCTCTGTGCGGTCCAGTTTATCTTCTGCTCCGTTGTCAGTTTTGCCACCAAGTGCCGTCATCCACCGATGGGTTTTCCCTTTCAGATCTTTTGATCCGGTGGGCAAAGGTTATGAGCGTAGGTTTTCCTGTGGTTGTCCATTTTGTTTCTTTTCAGTATCTTTTGTTGGTATGTATACAGTATTTTCTGTCATCTCCCCCGCCTCCACCCCCACCCCCACCCCTACCCCACCCCCACCCCCACCCCTTTTCCACTTAACCTCTCCTCTGGCTTTTCCCTTCAGCGTTATCACAGCATCTTCTCCGCCAGGCTAACTAGCCACCTTGCTGTTCAGTGACTGTGTGGGTCTGAGGATGCTGTAGGAAGTCAGTAGTGGGAAGAGTAACATGTAACTCAGTGGGTTACACCAGCCCTGGCAGTGTAACAGCTGTATCATTTTGGGACCAAGCGCTTCGCCTCTCCAAGCCTCAGTTTCCTCCTCTGTAAAATAGAAAATTAAAAAAAAAAAAAGTGAGTGATAATAAAACCTGCTGTAGTTATGAACCTCGCAGAAGCTTTTGGAGGGTTATATGACATTGTATAACGTGAAAGAATTTAGGAAACAGGAAAGCAGTATATAAATAGGGGATATTGTTTTTATTCCTCTGTCGTCATCATGATTTTCCTTTTGGCGTTTATAATTACCTTGGCTGAAAAGTTCTCTCTCCCTGTGTCCATTATCCTGCCTTTGTAGCAGAGGTTGATTCCTCATGAATCAATATCTTTGTGCCTGCTGACCTATGCACTAAATGTACACTGTGAGTTGTGAACTTTTGGCAAAGAGACAGTCCTAATTTCAGTCAGACCCCAAATTGAGCATGACTAGGAGCCTGCTTGCTTTTTGAGGGTAGTGCTGTGTGTGTGACTCATTGGAGACATCCCCCACTTAGGGAAGCCCTCCTGGACCCTTCCATTCTGGCTTAGGTGTGCTGTCTGTGCTCCCACAGCACCTCTGCATGTCCTCCCACAGTGCTCCTCCTGTTTGTGCTAGTACTGGGTGGTTTGCTCTCCTGTGTCTCCAGACTAGACCATGAGCACTTGACCTTTTTTAACTTTACATTCCCAGGGCCTAGCACAGTGTTTGGCACATAGTGGGCACTCTGTAAATGTTGACTGTAAGAAGAAAGTCATAGATTACACTTAATCACACAAGTTAGCTTTGATTGAAAGGGTTAAAATAAGGAAAATAGCTTAAGCCTTTCAACTGTAGGTGTTAAGATTTCCTAAAGGATGCGGTACACATTGAATTGGGATTCTATTCCTTTTTTACTGCACGCTTTTTAAAAGACCTACCTTCTCTCACTCATCTGCATTCTCTGTCTTCATTTCCTAGTTATCCACAGGCTTTATCCTTATGCCAGTTAACTGCACTGAGCCATCAAAGCAAATTTTTTAAAGCAATTTCTTAATTTTCCTCTGTTAGTATAGCGAGTGAGTGGAGCAGAACTAAGTTTGAATTGTGCTTCTTATTTATTTGCTGGTTTACCTTTGGCAAGTCACTTAACTCTTTTGAGCTTTAGTTTCCTCATCAATAAAAAAAAAAAAAAGAGATGTAATAAGAATGACCTTACGAGATCCTCTCACTTAATTTTCACAAGAGTGAGCATGATAACTAACACATAATAAATGCTTGATAAATATTTTTTCTGTCTTGTCTGCAGAATCTTTTTCAGTTGTGTACCAGAATTCACTTTACATAATGAGCATGATTTATTTGTTAGGCAACCATTAAAGGAAAACTGTTTTTGTTTGTTGTTTCATTTTTTAGGAAGCAGGAGAAAACCTTTCTTTCTTTCTTTTAAAAAAAAATATTTTATTGATTTTTTTACAGAGAGGAAGGGAGAGAGATAGAGAGCTAGAAACGTCAATGAGAGAGAAACATCGACCAGCTGCCTCTTGCACATCCCCCACCGTACATGCCCTTGCCGGAATCGAACCTTGGACCCTTCAGTCTGCAGACCAACGCTCCACTGCTGAGTCAAACTGGTTTCGGCAGAAATCCTTTCTTTTAGTGATTGATAATATCAGAGGGAAATGAATGACTTTGATTTACCTAGTGTAAGCTGTTGCTTTCCAGACACTCATTGACCAGACAAATGGAAGGAAAATTTAGGTTGATGAGAAACTTTATAAATAATTAGAAAATGGTTTCCCACGCTATAAATTCATTACTGCCCTTTTCCTCAGCTAAATTAATATTAAATGTCTGTTTTAGTATAGTGAAAAGAATGCTGGACTTTGAACTTAGACATTATTAGTTACTGAGTTTATTGTCCTTCCCTTCACTTAGAGAGCAAGAGAGAGATAGATGATAAGATTTCCATGCCTATTTCATATGATTACTGTAAGGACGTATTACTAAGTTACTGTAAATGAAAATTTGTGAGGTCAATTTAGAATATTGTCAGGAAACCAGCAAAACCAAGAATTCTTCAGGCTAGGTCTTGGGAGTGGGAGAGGAATTAAGGCTGAAAGCTGAAGGCTGAGGAAAACTGCTGCCATGAATATCCATTCACTTAAAATTTGTTAAGTATTGCCCACTAGACACACGATAAATAAAATAAGGAACTTGTCCAAAGAAACACTTCTAATAGGCTGATTCCTAATATTTTCAGTAGTCATTTCGCTATATCTAGCTCTTTGTAGTCTGGTAGAATAAGTAACAACTAAATTAAAAGTTAGTAGCTGGAACCACTAGAGCATTTCAATCTGGATAATTTTAGGTACTGAGAGAGAGCAGAGCATCAAGAGAGAAGGGCATAATAAGGATTTATCTTAGAAATTCTGTAAAATCTGTGCAAATTTTAATTTTTACATTCCTCCTTTCCCCCTTTTACTTATCCTGTTGTTAAGCTCATTCTTGTTCAGATAGACCCTTTCGTTACCTTTCTGACCTGGAAGTATTAGTCCTCAGGTCCCAAAGGGAGGAGTTATTAATAACTTTGGCTTTGCCCTCCTTTTTCCACACTCCTGGCAAAACTGAATCACAGATGCAATGTTTTCCAAAATTGATCATGTTTAAATGTCTTAGATTGCATGCAAATTCATTTATAATAGAGATGATAAATATTCAGTGTTTTCTATTGTTTCATGAACATTTGTAATTAGCCCACATGTCTTTTCTGAACTCTAGACTTATATATTCAACTCTACTCAATATTGTCTCTTAAGAATCTACTAGACGTCTCCAATTCAGCATATCCAAAACTCCTGACCATTCTTCCCAGACATGCTCTACCTATATATAGTCTTCCTTATCTCAGCTTTTTTGGCAACTTCTTTGCTAAGGCTAAAAGCCTTGGAGTCATCCTTGACTTCTCTCTTTCTCTTAATCTGATTGAAAACCATGCTGCCATGATTTAAATATATCCAGAATCTAACTACTTCTGCTGCTATTTCTTCCTGGTCACCATCATGACTTCTAGATTGCTACAATAGTCTGCTAACTGATCCCCCTGCTTCAGCACTCACAACCTTACACCCTTGCTACACACAGCAGAAAAGGAACTCTTTTAAAATGAAAGGGAGATCATGTCAGATCTCTGTTTAAAACCTGTAAAGGCTCCTCTTTCCCTCTGACTAAAAGCCTAAATTCTTACAATGGCTTATAAGGTCCTGCATGACTAAGCCTTCCCTTAGCTCTCCCACCTCTCTTTCTATTCTCTCTCTCTCTTTTTTTTTTTTTAAACTAGCCTTTATTGAGTTTCTACCATGAGCCAATCCCTTTGCATGTATCGCCTCATTTAATCTTTTAAAAAATATATATATTTTATTGATTTTTTACAGAGAGGAGGAGAGAGGGATAGAGAGCTAGAAACGTCGATGAGAGAGAAACATCGACCAGCTGCCTCTTGCACACCCCCTACCGGGGATGTGCCCGCAACCAGTGTACATGCCCTTGACCGGAATCGAACCTGGGACCTTTCAGTCTGCAGACCGATACTCTACCACTGAGCCAAACGGGTTTCGGCCTCTCTCTATTCTCACTACAGTGGTCGCCTTGGTTGAGGGCAGACATTCCAGGCAGGTTCCTACCTTAGCATCTTTGCTTTAACTGTTCCCTGTGCCTGAAATGCTTTGCCACCAGTTACCTGCATGGGTAGCTCTCATTTCCTTCACATTTTGCTCACATTACACGTTGTTAATAAGGCATACTCTGGCCCTAGTTGTTTTAGCTTAGTGGATTGAGCGTCTGTCTTTGGACTGAAGGGTCCTGGGTTTGATTCTGGTCAGGGCATATGCCTGGGTTATGTGCCTGATCCCCTGTGGGGGGCATGCAGGAGGCAGCTGATCAGTGATTCTCATCATTGATGTTTTTCTCTTTCTCCCTCTTCCTTCTCTAAAATCAATAATTTTTTTTTTTTTTAAAAAGGCCTACTCTGACCACCCCTTGATTGTTGCAGCCTGTTTACTCTCCCACTACTCTCCCAATCCCCTTTTTCTTTCCTCTGTATTTTCTTTTTAACATTGTCTCCTGTTTGTTTTGCACTATGTGCAACAGGAGACACCTTATAGAGGGGATCATGAGCTATTGTTGATTATTTAATAGGTAGAATAAGTAATCCAGGATAGGACCATAGAAATATGGCAAATGATCTGTGTAGATTGTTAGTATATTAAAAACATGAATCCAAGACCTGAGCCTTCCCATTTTCCTATCATAGGGCATCTGACTGGAAATTAGACCAGCCTGATTGGACTGGTCGCCTCCGAATCACTTCAAAAGGGAAGATTGCTTATATCAAACTGGAGGACAAAGTTTCAGGTAATCTATACTGGGAACCCTCTAACATATTAAGAATATTGTTTTGATGTGCTTTTGTAAGTACCTTCAAGTTGGGGACCAAAATGGAAATACTTGTTAAGTGGAGTTTTAGGTTTTTGCTTCCTTTGCTCAAAGAAGTCTTTTCTTACCTGTCAGGGGAACTTTTCGCTCAGGCACCAATAGAACAGCATCCTGGTATTGCTGTGGAGACAGTGACAGATTCCAGCCGCTACTTTGTAATCCGGATCCAGGATGGTACCGGTAAGGGATCTGAGATTGGAATGGGATGATTAGGAAAATAGTTCATGCATTTCAGTGAAAATGTATCCCGATTGCATTTATCTCACTTCAGCTTACTAAGTTTTTTCTCCCTTTTCTCTAAAGTTAACTAAAATTGCTGAAGGAGAAGGATTAACATATATTTGTAATAGATATGAATACAAGTTCAAGATATGGTGATTAATAGGTAGATGTAAATAAAATGTATATTTAACAAAAGAACTTACACATATTGCCCATTTGTTCTTTGTGGTGGGTTTTGGTGGTACTATCTTAAATCATCTATATCTGGGGCAACCATTATCTTTTCTCCATAGTCGATATCAGAGGTTGACAAACTTGTTCTATAAAGGGTCAGATAGTATTTTAGGTTTTGTGGCCCAAGTAGTCTCCATTGCAGCTACTCAGTTCTTGCTGAAATAGTGTAAAAGCAGCCATAGATTTTATATAAACAAATTGGTTCCACTAAAACTTTATTTACAAAAACTAGCTACGGCAGCATTTGGACTGTGTTCCACTAAAACTTGATTAATTGTGTTCCACTAAAACTTTATTTACAAAAACTAGCTATGGCAGCGTTTGGACTAGGGGCTTTCTGTAGTTTATGGACCCTGGTCAGGGAGAATGATTCATGTTCCCAGACTTCAGGTAGGATAACTGTTACATTTTCTTTGGGTAGAATTTGCCGGGACACTCCTATTCTGAGTATTTCTATTTTCCCCCCAGGACGTAGTGCTTTCATTGGCATTGGCTTCACAGATCGGGGTGACGCCTTCGACTTTAATGTCTCTTTGCAAGATCACTTCAAGTGAGTGAAGCTCGTCCTTATTTACCAGGTTAAATGGTTTTGGGAAAGCTGCTTCTCAGTTGAATGGGTACCATCTTCTTTACCTCCTGGTTTCTTTATTTGGTAAACTAGTTTATTATGAATAGAAATTTTCCCATTCACTCTGTTTTTTAATATTATCTTCGTATCTGTTGTTTCCTTTCCTTATAGCCAGGAATATGTTCTTTTTTTTTTTTTTAATACATTTTTATTGATTTCAGAGAGGAAGGGAGAGGGAGAGAGAGATAAAACCATCTATGAGAGAAAATCATCAATCAGCTGCCTCTTGCACACCCCCTACTGGGGATGTGCCCCCAACCAAGGTACATGCCCCTGACCGAAATCGAACCTGGGACCTTTCAGTCCACAGGCCAATGCTCTATCCACTGAGCCAAACCGGTTTCAGCAGGAATATGTTCTTGATTCCTTATACAATGGTTTGAGATGATGCTTTTGTTTATGCCTCTGGGGAATTAGCCATTGTTTTTGGTGGCTGAGAGAGGTATGCAGTGACCACAGGGCTGCATGTAAGATATGTGGAGAGTTAGTGCCAATTTTGCTACTCCATGTAACTTGTTTTGTGCTTATTGCACCATTCTTCAGCTCACCTGACTTTGGCGTAGCTGTAGTAGAAAGCACCATGCACACTGTCAGCTTTCCAACTTCAAGCATGGTATTCTGCTTTTCTGCCTCCGGACTGTGACATTGTGGAAGGTCACTCATTTAACAGGAGTGCAACCTGGAAGAACTGAAGAGTTAACAGCCCCTCAGGGGCAGCACTCAGGCATGGGGGATGAGAATTGGTGGCCAAATATTCTCCTTTGGAGGGACAAGTTTAATACATATTGTTTGGTTCCTCAGTGGCATTGAGCCCTAGTTGTCCTCTTTCTTCACTTTTCTTTTTCTTTCTTTCTCAACTCTTCATGCTCCTCACTTTGCTTTCTGGAATCCTGTTTTACATAATTAACTTCACTCATATTTGTGTGTCAAACTCTGCTGTCAGAAAATGCCAAATTAAGGTAACTTACTTTTTTGCTGAAGGTGGGTAAAGCAGGAATCTGAGATTTCCAAAGAATCTCAGGAAATGGACACACGCCCCAAGTTGGATCTGGGCTTCAAGGAAGGACAGACCATCAAGTTGAGCATTGGGGTGAGTATAGCTTTTTTCTTTCCTTTCTGTGTTTTCATATGCCTATGACTTCTCTTTTTTCCTCTCGCTTTCCCTCTTTTTTCTTTCATAGAATATTACAACCAAGAAAGGAGCCACTTCTAAGCCCAAGACTGCAGGCACTGGAGGCCTAAGCTTACTCCCACCCCCACCTGGAGGCAAAGTCACTATTCCCCCACCATCCTCCTCAGTTGCCATCAGCAACCATGTCACTCCACCACCCATTCCAAAATCTAACCATGGAGGTAGTGATGCAGGTAAATCTCTCTGATACTTTAAACACACACACACACACACACACACACACACACACACACACTTTATTGATTTTAGAGAAGGAGAGAGAGAGAAACATCAATGATGAGAAAGAATCATTGATTGGCTGCCTCCTGCACTTCCCCTTCTGGGGATCCAGCCCGTGACCCGCGCATGTGCCCTGACTAGGAATTGAACGTAACCTCCTGGTTCAGAGGTCAATGCTCAACCACTGAGCCACACCGGCTGGGCTCTCTAATACTTTTCACTTTCAGAAATCATACATTAAGTTGTAACTGGATAACACATGCTTGCTAAGGAGAGTGCTGAAGTTTTTTCTATTAAATGGCACTTACTATCTGTTGGGAAAAAGAATAGATAGTTATTTACATTTGAAGAATGAGAACGTTAGAACTCAGAAAGTAATTTTCCTAAGACCAGCGAACCAGATATTACAATCTGTGAGTTTTAAAAGTGTCACCAGAAGGCTGGGGATAATATCTAAGATTAACATTTTTTTGTTTTGTTAAGTTAATCTTAAAAAAATTATTTTTTTCCTTTATTGATTTTTAGAAAGAGAGGTAGGGTGAGGGAGAGAGAAAGGGAGAAACATAGATGTGTGTATGTGTGTGAGAGGGGCGGGGGGTATCAGTTGCCTCCTGTTCGTACCTTGAACGGGAATCAAACCCACAACCTGGATATGTACCTTGATTGGGAATCAAATCCATGACCTTTTGGTATACAGAATGACACTGCTACCCACCGAACCACACCAGGGACAGGGCTTAAATGAAACTTTTTATTTTGAGATTGTAGAGTCACATACAGTTGTAAAAATAATGCAAAGAAATCCCTTGTACCTGTTACTCAGTTTCCTTTAATGGTAACATTTTGCAAAACTAGAATATCACAGCTAGGAAATTGACATTGATACCATCTACCAGTCTTACTTTTGATTTCACCAGTTTTATGTGTTCTCTCTTGTGTGTATTTATTTTGTGTACTTTATTGTGTGTAGGTTTCTGGATCCACCACCATGGTCAGTTCTATCACTTCAAGGATCCCTTGTGTCATTCTTTTATCAGCATACCTTCCTCTTAGCCTCTTCTCTCCCTCATCCTCACACTCTCCCAGTCTCTAACCTGGGAAATCACTAATTTGTTCTCCATCTCTGCAATTTTGTCACTTCAGGAATGTTTTATAAATGGAATCATATATAACATTTTGGGTTGGCTTTTTTCACTCAGCATAAATTCCCTTGGGATTCATCCTAATTGTTGTGTATATCCATAGTTTCTTCCTATTTATTGCTGAGTAGTACTCCACGGTGTGGATGTACCACATTGTGTTTAATCATCACCCATACAAAGAAATCTGAGTTGTTTTCAGTTTTTGGCTTTTATAATGCTGCTGTGTGTAGACTGTGTGAACATAAGCTTTCATTTCTAAGATTTATATTATGTTTCTCCTTTTCTTACCTTTCATTCAGATATCCTTTTAGATTTGGACTCTCCTGCTCCTGTCCCCACAGCAGCACCAGCACCAGCACCAGCACCAGCACCAGCTCCAGTTTCTGCGAGCAGTGACTTGTGGGGAGACTTTAGCACTGCATCTAGGTATGAGCTTAGTGAAACCACTATCTCCTCAGTCAGGTGTGGACGGTATGTACAGTCAGATGAAATGTTTGATCTGGGAAAATGGCATTTGTAGGTCATAGAGAGTCTTTGGCAGGAATTCTAGGTAAGGAAATATAGGAGTGCTGGAATGTTGGAATAAAACTGTGGAATGAAGTTTGAGTGGGGTATTTTAGGCCTTGATAAGTAGGATTGCCGTGAAATATAGTTTCAAAAATTCTGGCCAGTGATTTCTTTGAAACTGTTAAGTAAACAATGGAATAGCTATCCTAATATTATGCTTACTGTTTTGTCTTGCAGCTCTGTTTCAAACCAGACGCCCCAGCCATCCAACTGGGTCCAGTTCTGAATAGCATTGGCTGGATATTAAGGACAGACTTGAAGAATAAAATGACCTTGAGGGCACCAATCTGTGAGGGAAGTTAGGAATCCTTCTTTCCCCAGAACCACAATTTCTGGACAATCTTTTTCATAGCTTCTCCATTGCGTTCAGGCTGGTTTTTGTCACTCCCCTATGTTGTTATTTGTAAAGCCAAGAAAGTACCTCTTATCTCCTCTTCATTAGCAAGGCAGGGGAATAGTAGGTCTTATCATACTGTGGCTGGCTATGCGGGGCTCCAAGGCCATGGCTTCTGAGGGAGATGACCTCTAACATCTGCAACATTTTTCTCCATCTTTGAAACACTTAAACATATTCCAGAATCCTCATTGTGAAGCCCTATTTAGCAATTTCAGGGGAGACTTCCTTTTCCACTCACCCAAGACTCTGAAAACAGACAGATTGACCTCAGTGTTTACAAACACAGAATTTTGCTAGAGATAGGAATGAAGAAAATCCTGGTCTTGATTCTCAGCTATCTACCCTCCAGGTGTATCCTACTCAGTGAACATCCAGTGCTGGGTGAGGTCTCATCACCCTCTCATGTGTTTACAGGTCTCTTCCTATGATAAGAGGGTTGTGTTGGTGGCATCTCCACTATTCTTTTAAAAAGTATATATATTTTGTGATTTAAAAAAAATTTTTTTTTAGAGAGGGAGAAGGATAGAGAAGTAGAAACATTGATGAAAGAAAAGCATCATTGATTGGTTGCCTTTTGTGGGCAGGGGATCAAGCCCACAACCCGGGCATGTGCCCTGACCGGGAATTGAACTGGTGGCCTCTTGGTTCCTGGCTTAATGCTCAACTGCTGAGCTGCACCAGTCGGGCTCCACTATTGTTTTGTTTGTTGAATAGCACAACATCTCTGATCAGTGGTTGTCTCTTGGATAAAGAAAGTGCAATTGTGTCCCAAGTTATATTCTAGAGAAGTGTTTACAGTAAGTTCTCCCTTAACGATGTCGATAGGTTCTGCGACTTTAAGCCAAACCACTTACAACAAAACCAGTTTGACCATAGGCTAATTGATATAAACAAGAACTAAGTTCCTACAGCGTCTCATCAACAGCATAACAAAACAATATTATTAAATATTGTACATCCTTGCAGTTCCATCTAATTGCTGCATTTTGACCTAAGGTTGAAGGGTGGAGTTTTTAATCTGATTTGTAGAGCAGAGCTTGAAAACAACTCTTGTTCAGTACCCACATTGCCTTGCTGCCTGGGTATCTGGCTTGTTTCCCTAAACTTTTCAATCCATCTAGCTTTTCAATAGAAGAGCAGCTATTATATGCATCACCACTTAAGAAGGAAGCTGGAGAGTCATCACTTTAGTTATGATAGGTTTTGCCCAGATGACGGCTTTGATGCCCATTACTCAGGGTATCTCAAAGGCAAGTTGCTCTCTCACCACTTTCCTTTCCCTCTGCCCCACCGTTCCTTTTACAATGCTGTGAAGAGCGTTCCCTTTCCTAGATGATGGGGCGCTACCTATTTTGTTTGTTCGTAGACAGTTTTGAGGATGAGATGAAAAGATAATTCTTCCCTTAGTCCCTATTTGGATGTGAATACTCTGGCTGAAGGGAGGGAATCCTTATGTTTATTTTCAAAATACATTTTCTCTCCTGGATTTCCTTCTTTACTCCTTTGAACTTTGGGTCCATTTCTTTTCATTGCCTCCCCTTCCAGGCAGCTCTATACTTACAGAGCTGTGGCAGGGCACTTTTTAAATTCCATAGAAAACACTAAAAGGAAAGTGTAGAATCACTAGTGACTATTGGGAACCTATTTTCTCAATCTTCCTTCATGTTGTGTTCTTTGTATTCTCAAGATGATAATATATTATGTATTTGAATTGCTGAAAAGTTGATAATGAAGTTTTAAGATATATGTATATAAAGCATATGCTGTATTGGTGCAATAATGGTAATTAAAATATGGAAAAAGGTGGTGTGTCTTTTATCTTTTAATTTGCCTATCTCATTGCCTTTTTTGTTTGATTGATGCAATATGAATGGGGTAGTAGGTAATAAAAGGACATTTTATAGCTATTATTCTTTTTTCAAGAAATAGGGGTTCTTAAGGAATTGAGGCTATACCTCTGCTCATGTTTCTAAATCCACAGAACACTCCTTATAGAGATCTATTTGCTAATACTGTTCATTTTATTTGCTTCTAGCCCACCTAATCAACATAAATGGAAGGAATCATTGTAAAAGGTAGAACTAAAGTGAGTTGTAGACTTTGGCAGTTAGAGAATCTTAAAGTTCTCATTCATTAATTATTATAAGAGATGAATCACAATGATTTGGGATTGCCTCTTTTTGTGTGTAAAGTAACAGATTCTGTAAAGATTTGATCTCTAAGGGATAGGGATTTGATGGCTTCCCTACCATGGCCTTTCTACTGAGGCTGTGAGGCCACTGATAGAACTGTATCTTAATCTTCAGATTCTTTTTGGGGAAAATGTAGACAGTTTTTTAGCCCCACCCCCTCAGTTACACATTGACATCTGCCTTCATGGTTGAAATGTGAACCTTAATTGCTTCTCACTTCTTCTGTTCTGATATCCTAGGTAGTCACTTGCCTGTAGCTTTCTTAGCTCCGGTTCAGTATACATATTGTCACCAGGATAATCTTCCTAAAATCAAACCCTGCTCATGTCCTTTCCTCCCTGCTCATTGCCTTTAATGATTTTCCTTTGCTTACAGAATAAAATTCAAATACCATTTTATCCTCCACTCAGTTTTCTCTTTCACATACAGTACACTCCATGAACCAGGGTACTAGTCATTCTTCAAATGCCATCAGCACCGTGAGCTTGCTAAAAATTCCCTCTGCCTAAAATACCTTTCCCTCTGTGCCTGCCTGTTGAGATACTTCCTATCCTCTCGCTGTGAAAGATGGTCCTTTTCTTTGAGTTGTTGAAGTTCATTTCCTTATTTGTCTGTAAGGTCTTTGAGTATAAAGGACTATGTATTCATTTTTACCTATTAATTGTACTTCTCATAGGCCTTTCTAGATAGTAGATGATCATTAACTACTTGTTGAATTAACAGTGATTTCAGTGAAGAGGGACTAGGAATCAGTAAGTTGGGTATTTTCCTTTTATTCATATTCATTTGGGTCATTTCTAGCTACATGACACAAGCATTCCTCATATGTTTTGTCAGAGTTGCAGAAAATTTCATTTATTTGCCCTAGAGTCCATCAATATTTGAGAACAAGAAAGCCATGGAGAAGACAGATTTTACTTTGGTGCATAGACGCTATGGCCTGGGAAAAGGAAGATTGGATATCATGTGGCGTGGCTGCTGATAAATTTGATAGCTTACTCTCTCCTTTTAATCAGCACAACTGGCACTTTATGTTCTGGTTATTTTCTAGTTTCTAAAAAAAGTCATTTCTGTCATTGCCTCTTAACTGTACATGAAAATAACATGGCTTGTGATTATAGAACTCAAACTCAAGTGTTCTCCATCAATCACATGTTTTGTAATGAGTAAGAAAGAAAAAGAGTTACCTTTGTTTGCAGATCTCTTAACCCTGAGGGATGTATGGCTTGTTAAGATTTTCATAGCAATTTTAAAAATGAATTTAACCTTATTTATTAGGAAGTGTTTTTTAAAAAATGTTTTATTCTTTTAAAAAAAAATATATATATATATTTTATTGATTTTTTACAGAGAGGAAGGGAGAGGGATAGAGAGCTAGAAACATCGATGATAGAGAAACATCGACCAGTTGCCTCCTGCACACCCCCCACCAGTGATGTGCCCGCAACCAATGTACATGCCCTTGACCGGAATCGAACCTGGGACCTTTCAGTCCGCAGACCAACGCTCTATCCACTGAGCCAAACCGGTTGTGGCTGTTTTATTCTTTTTTATTCCTCCTTCCCTCCCTCCTCTCCTTCCTTTCTTCCTTCCTGGAAGGGAGAGGAATCTATATATATAAAAGCCTAAGTGACCATTAATTGGTCAACTGAACGGCCAGTTGACCAAATGACTGGTTGCTATAATGCACACTGACCACCAGGGGGCAGATGCTCAATGCAGGTGGTCAGTGCACTCCCAAAGCCAACCTCCCACAGTCCTTTCCCCTAGCCAGCTGGCCCCGATCAGGACTGAGCGAGAGAGCCCCAATTGCCCCCAATTGTCAGCCAGACTGAGGGACCCCACCTGTGCATGAACTCATGTACCAGCCCTCTAGTCTAATATAATAATAGAGGAATATGAAAATTAGCCAGAACACCAAAACATCACAACCAATCTATAAGCGGCAGAGAGCTCCAGGAAGGTGGGGCAGCGAGCTATGAGCAGGGGAGAGCTAACAGTGGTGATGGTCAGGGTGGCCAGCTGAGGCAAGTGGCAGCAAGCTACTCAGATTTGTGTGGATTCGTGTGCAGTGCTACTAGTAGAAAGATAAAGACATTGATCAGATGCTCTAGCCAAATTGGTTCAGTGGATATAGTGTTGGCTCACGGACTGAAGGGTCCCAGGTTCAGTTCCAGTCAAGGGCACATGCCCAGGTTGTGGGCTCAATCTCCAGGAGGAAGCATGCAGGAAGCAACTGATCAATTATTCTCTCTCATCATTGATGTAGTTTATCACTTCGTTTCCTCTCTGAAGTAAATTTAAAAATAAATAAGACTGCTTGAAAAACAAAACATCGATGAGAGGGGAACATCAAGCCCGCAACCCAGGCGTGTGCCCTAACTGGGAATTGAACTGGTGACCTTTTGATTCCTGGGTCAACGTTTAACTGCTGAGCCACACCAGCTGGGCAGAAAGTGGTTTTTAAAAATACATATATTCATTTCAGAGAGGAAGCAAGAGGGAGAGGGAGAGAAAAACATCAGTGATGAGAGAGAATCATTGATTGGCTGCCTCTTGCTTGCCTCACACTGGGGATCTAGCCTGCAACCTGGGCATGTGCCCTGACTAGGAACCGAATGATGATCTGGTTCATAG